ATTAAAAGACTAATTACTTTCACCCCAAATACTAATTAGTTGTAATTTTACATTTCTAATAGTTGCCACTATCCTAGGTTTTGCCCATTTGTCAGAAATAATTTTTTACTCATTTAAAACACAATCAAATTTAATATGCTCTTTTATTCTTTTATATATTTTAACATGTACACGTCAGAATAAGCATGTTTGAATTTTTACATAAATGTTGTGTCACACTGAATGACAATGTAACATTATTTCAACCAAATTTTAACATTTTATTCTCCAAAAACTTATTTGAAACCTTAAAAGTAGACATTTTACTTACATTTAATGTGCTTTCTATAGACATAAAATCACTTTTGTACATTTCTTTTGATGCGGACATCTTAACGTCTTTGACCCATGTATATAAATCCAACACATTAAATCTAATGGTGATGATTGTTGCAGGCTGCTGGAGGTGCTGGAGGTTGCGGAGGACATGGCGATAGATATTCCTCACATCTGGCTGTATCTGGCTGAGCTCATCAGTCCCATGCTGCACGAGGGAGGGATTCCCATGGGGCCGCTCTTCAGGTGAGCCTGCAAACCCTTCACATCCATCACCTGCCAATAACATCACACAGAAATCAAGCGTCTTGACCTCTGACCGGTTCACAGGGAGGTGTCTAAACCACTGGTGCCTCTTGGGAAGGCTGGAGTTCTGCTGGTGGAGATCCTCAAGCTGCTCTGTAAAGCAATGGTAAGACGCTTGTGAGAATTCATTCATTCCTGTTAGACACCAAGGTTGCACGATTCATTGAAATAAAATAAAGCAATAAGCCCCAAGTAGCCGTGGTTTACAGTGAATTTATAACAGCTAAGGGACGTTGTTAGGCACGACCCCCTTAACTGTTATAAATTCACTGTAAACCACGGCTTCACGGGGCTTATTGCTTTTATAAAACAGTTATTCCATGTTAGGCACGACGCGAAGCGGGGCTTATTGCTTTTATAAAACGGTTATTCCATATACGTAGTAAGGTTTCACAAAAAATAAAACAGAGCAAATAAAGTGTAATGATATTAATAAAAACAGTATTCTTCCACCAAACAATGTAGCTCCTCAGAATCAGTTGTGGTTCCAGCAAAGTGGTTGCCGAGCAACACACAGAAGTAACCAAAGGTGTATGTTACTTTGTAGAGTAATTTACAACAGCTTCGAACGTGGCTCAGCCAATCAGAATCAAGCACCAGAACTCTCCGTTTTATAACCGTAAATACAATATGGCTCAGTGCGCTTTGCAAATCGCAAAATCTGTGATTTAAATAAATAAATGCTCTTCTTTCAGAGTGAAGCGCGGCACTGTGTTCATTTACACGCGCGGCTCACGATGCGCTTGTCAGTAAATGCTGCTTCACGCAAATTAATCTCTGCATCTGCTCTGAGTTGGAGTCATTTATATTGTGCATTTGGAAACGCAACATGTGGAAACTGTTCGTTTTAAACCGCTTATAAACCGGTTGTCTTCAACAAAACCAAGCAAAGCTTCCCTGTGGTTAAACTGTTGAAATTAAAGAAATGAAGAATTTGAGAAAGCCATAAATATTAGTGTTGTAATTTTACAGCTTTACTGTAAAATAAAATAAATTATTATTAATACATTTAATTAATTCTTTCATTTTTACATTTTTATTTATTTTTATTTTTAATTCTATTAAATAATTTACATTTGTTTGCATTAGTAATATTTCTTATTTTGTTTAATAATTATACTAGGTAATAATAATTACAATAAAAACTATAGTAATATTAATAATTATTATTATTATTATTACAACATACACATTTGTTAACTTTTGTATTTTACAGTGAAATATTATATTATTATTTATTATTTTGTTCGATACTTTTATTTGGTAATAAGAACCATAATTTTAAAAAATATTTTTGTTTATATATATATGTAAGGGATAATCAACGGCTTGCCGTGCATTAAAGGATTTTAAATGCACGACGCGGAGGCAAAGAACCACCCGATGTGAAGCGATGCGAAGCGAAATATATATGTATATATATGTGCTCCTGTGGCTCAGTGGTAGAGCATTGCGTTAGCAGCGCAAAAGGTCATGGGTTCGATTCCCAGGGAACACACATACTGGTAAAAAAAAATGTATAGCCTGAATGCACTGTAAGTCGCTTTGGATAAAAGCGTCTGCTAAATGCATAAATTAAA